TTAACAAGATCACCATAGAAATGTAATTGTTCTAGTCATAATCGCACAGTGAGTGTAACAGTGTTTGATTAAAATAATCAAAAAACCACATTAGTGAAATGGCACTTCCCCAGTGGCACTGTATAATTAATAAATAAATTTGTTTAAACAATTAAACTGTTGGTTGGAAATTTACAACTACAAAATGTTTTGTTTGCCCTTCACTGCTTGAGGGTTGAAACATGCTTCACGTAGAGCAGGCTCATCCATTCAGTGCCTTGCTGGTTACCTAATGCCGCTGTTGAGAAAGCAACACCACAAGGATCAGCACAGTAGCTAGATTCTGTGTTAGGGGCCGAGTCAAGATTGTTCAGATTAGTGTAATAAAGCATGGAAAATGAGGGAGGAGAGGGAGACGGAGAAACACGGTGAGAGAGGAGATGATATGGAGAGATAAGCCCTTTGTTCACCATTGCAGGTTATTTTCTCTCCTCTTTGATAAACATTGGGCCAGTTTTATTTAGTAGGCTTGACAACAGGCAGATAGTGTCCACTGAGGCTACCAAAAGCAAACAGAGCCTCATACAGGTTCATTCAAGCTAAGAATCGGATGCCTTGCTGGGTAAATAAGACACATGACCCAGTTTGTGCCAAAATATTTACATGAATATACTGTATGAATGTACAGTATAAAAGGCAAACTCCCCTCAAATAATATTGACTTCATGTGTCCTTGTTGCCTCCCTTTAGGTTGTTCACTTCAGATCAAGGTCTACTTAAAAACTGTTCAATAGTAAATATATCTATACACTAAGCTGCAAGCTACACTACTGTACATATCTTTTTTTAACATGACAACCAAACAAAAAGTACTGGCATTATTCAATGTGTGGACCTATATCTAAAAGCTTTCTTTCTCCTGCAGCGTCCCCACATTCCACGGCTTGCAGGAAGATATTCTGAGCAAGCTTGCTGATGTCCTTGAGGAGGTAAGCAGCGTGTCAGAGACAACTCAAGCCTCCACTACACAACAGATTTGACAGTTTTCCATACATTCACTTTGTTCTTTAACAGTGAAAGGAGAATGAGGCCATATTCCACATAACATGCACAAAGTGATTTTTTTTTTTGCAGGCTTCAAACAGAACAAAGCATGCACAGTTGGGATTTCAGAGCAATTGCTATCCTCTTAGTACAGTTTGCACTCAGCAAGGTGTCATTGAACCAAATGGTCCACCTCTGCAGGAAAGTTAATTTAGTTAACCTGTTCATAAACTCAGCTGTCGGAAGCCATTTGAGCTTTCAAAGGGTCAAACAATCTGAGCAACTACAGCACATCCATTGCAATTAATGTTGTAGTGTGACATCTATTTTGACTTGACAAATGTTAGTGAGGTACTTTCAGCCCTTCCATTTTCTTCATTTGCTTTGTAGCTTCTATAGTTTCCCATTAATTTACAGAGATATGAAGTCACACCTTTATTAAAATTTGCTTGTATTGTGTAATTCATCAAAATGAACAGAATATTTTCAGACTTCCATTACTGTAATGTGGTAATGCAGTGAAAGTGCAGATTGACTTTTCTGCACTGCATTACCTCTTAACAATGAGGGAACTTTAACAAAAGTTAATGTAGGTTCAATATTTACTAATGATTACAAGATTCAGGTTTCAAGACTGCAGGCTGATCTTCATGTAAATGAATGGAAAGCACTAGCCAGAAAAGAAAGAAAGCCACAAAAGAATGGAAGCCAGAAAAATTCATTCATAAATCTTAAACTACATGAAACAGACAGCAGTTGTAATAAACTGATTTGTCATAATCGGACCAAGATGCCCTTTTAATTGCCGTTTTACAGCACGTTTACGTCACGCTGATCATGTCTCTCAGTATTGCATTCTACCCACCTGTACGCCACTTTGAGGTTTTCTCCAGCGTAATTTAATCAAACATGCATGGGGGTGACTGTGGTTCAGTGGGTAGAGCAGTCGTCTCCCAACCGGAGGGTCAGATGTTCAAATCTCGGTGCCTACAGTCCACGTGTCAAAATGTCGTTGGGGAAGACAATGAACCCTCAAGTTGCCCCCGATGGTTAAAGCCATCGGTTGAGTTGGCGCCGCCGATGGCTGCCTCGGTTTTGTAACAGAAACAAATTCCTTGTGTGTAACATGGCCAAATAAAGATGATTATTATACTCATTTACAATTTTCATGTTTGCTAACACAGGCTTTTAACGTGTTAAGCTGCATTCAAATATGAGCTTTGCCTACATTTTTAGATTCAGTTTATGTAGGTAGCTAATAGCAAGCAGTCAAGGTCCTTGTGCTTTACAGAAGAGATAGAGGCTATTAATTGTTTTGTTTAGGAGTTTCAGGTTTATTACAGGACTGGATTATATCTGGACAGGGAGTTTAAAATACAGTACATGGTCCTTACTCTGACCAACATGTTTTCACATCATCTTTGCATCAAATGTTTAAACATTTCATTTTGCCCATATAACATGGAGGAGTTGTCTTAACCTCTTTCTCTGTTCTGTAATGACATGTGAACACAATCTGGGTTACACACCAGGAACATCTAAATTGTTGTCAGTACAGGTCCTCCTTAAGAAGTTAGTGTGGGTAACAGTCATCGAGTATGTGTCCTGCCAGGACACATGACACCACCTAAAACAAAAACAAAGCAACTTTAGGTTCATAATATTCAACATAGCCTTACATTGCTTGAAACTTGAAATAAAACAAGACACCTGTGACTACAATAAATAAACAAAAAGGCAACAAGGTAGCAAACAGAACTAAATAAACTAAGGCACAAACAATACAAATAAGATTAGACATGACAAAGCACAAATACTGGGGCAACTAAGGAAACAGAGACACAAACAATGTCAAGGAGTCAATGAGCAACCAAATGGAAAGCAGAGCTAACTGACAAGGTGAGGGGAGGCAAAGAACGTGAACAAACTTAAATGCAAAGAAAAACAAGAGTCCATACGTACCAGAGTCCATAAACAAGAAATGGGGCCAAAAGGGCTGAGTCTAAACTGAGGAACAAGATGAAAAGGAAACATATAGGAAAATCTCTGATGCAGAAACAGAGAAAACACACACCTAGACGGGATGTAGAAAGCTGCTAGCTGGTGATTACTCTAATGGAAAACAGCTGAGGACAATTAGAGCTGGCTAGGCCTGGGACAGGTAAAGCTTTTTCTTCTGCTCCTTCTTCTTTGATGGTGTCTAACTGCAGTTGGCACCTTTGGAGTTGCATTACTGCCTCCTAGTGCATTTATGCATCACCAAAATTCACTTCCATTAAATTCTTGATACCAAGCCAGTTGTTTTCTAAACAGCACCTTTCCGTTCTCCACCATGACCTATCATCTTACAAGCTATGTTTTCCCCTTCCTTCAGCATCAAGATGTACTCAATTATAGCATTAGACTGTAAGTTAACATAGCTGTCACACAGCCATGAACAAATGCTCTTAAACCAGAGCCATTTGAATATACAGTGCCTTGCGAAAGTATTCGGCCCCCTTGAACTTTGTGACCTTTTGCCACATTTCAGGCTTCAAACATAAAGATATAAAACTGTAATTTTTTGTGAAGAATCAACAACAAGTGGGACACAATCATGAAGTGGAATGAAATTTATTGGATATTTCAAACTTTTTTAACAAATAAAAAACTGAATAATTGGGCGTGCAAAATTATTCAGCCCCTTTACTTTCAGTGCAGCAAACTCTCTCCAGAAGTTCAGTGAGGATCTCTGAATGATCCAATGTTGACCTAAATGACTAATGATGATAAATAGAATCCACCTGTGTGTAATCAAGTCTCCGTATAAATGCACCTGCACTGTGATAGTCTCAGAGGTCTGTTTAAAGCGCAGAGAGCATCATGAAGAACAAGGAACACACCAGGCAGGTCCGAGATACTGTTGTGGAGAAGTTTAAAGCCGGATTTGGATACAAAAAGATTTCCCAAGCTTTAAACATCCCAAGGAGCACTGTGCAAGCGATAATATTGAAATGGAAGGAGTATCAGACCACTGCAAATCTACCAAGACCTGGCCGTCCCTCTAAACTTTCAGCTCATACAAGGAGAAGACTGATCAGAGATGCAGCCAAGAGGCCCATGATCACTCTGGATGAACTGCAGAGATCTACAGCTGAGGTGGGAGACTCTGTCCATAGGACAACAATCAGTCGTATACTGCACAAATCTGGCCTTTATGGAAGAGTGGCAAGAAGAAAGCCATTTCTTAAAGATATCCATAAAAAGTGTTGTTTAAAGTTTGCCACAAGCCACCTGGGAGACGCACCAAACATGTGGAAGAAGGTGCTCTGGTCAGATGAAACCAAAATCGAACTTTTTGGCAACAATGCAAAACGTTATGTTTGGCGTAAAAGCAACACAGCTCATCACCCTGAACACACCATCCCCATTGTCAAACATGGTGGTGGCAGCATCATGGTTTGGGCCTGCTTTTCTTCAGCAGGGACAGGGAAGATGGTTAAAATTGATGGGAAGATGGATGGAGCCAAATACAGGACCATTCTGGAAGGAAACCTGATGGAGTCTGCAAAAGACCTGAGACTGGGATGGAGATTTGTCTTCCAACAAGACAATGATCCAAAACATAAAGCAAAATCTACAATGGAATGGTTCACAAATAAACATATCCAGGTGTTAGAATGGCCAAGTCAAAGTCCAGACCTGAATCCAATCGAGAATCTGTGGAAAGAACTGACAACTGCTGTTCACAAACGCTCTCCATCCAACCTCACTGAGCTCGAGCTGTTTTGCAAGGAGGCATGGGCAAAAATTTCAGTCTCTCGATGTGCAAAACTGATAGAGACATACCCCAAGCGATTTACAGCTGTAATCGCAGCAAAAGGTGGCGCTACAACGTATTAACTTAAGGGGGTTGAATAATTTTGCACGCCCAATTTTTCAGTTTTTTATTTGTTAAAAAAGTTTGAAATATCCAATAAATTTCGTTCCACTTCATGATTGTGTCCCACTTGTTGTTGATTCTTCACAAAAAATTACAGTTTTATATCTTTATGTTTGAAGCCTGAAATGTGGCAAAAGGTAGCAAAGTTCAAGGGGGCCGAATACTTTCGCAAGGCACTGTAGCTAGCTATTAAATTAAAGAGAGATAATCATTTAGACTGGGTGAATGATGTGGAAGAGAGCTGTGAGAAGGCACAAGTAATAGTAATGCTAGCACTATGAAAATGAGGTGTTTTGCATGACACTCTCATGTTGCATTGTTGGCTGAGGGAACTTTTATTTTTGGGAAGTTGGTTGGATTTGCATTTGCCAGCCTCATAGATAAAACAACATCAGGCTGGAAAGTAGCACTAAAATAATTCAGCCCTCTTAACAGTTTGCTTTAATTTATTTCTTCGCTGTCAACCTATAAACAGCAGATTAAAGGCGTGGGTGGTACTGACTTGGCCCATCAAAGGTTTTGCATATTTATCCCTGTTTGTGCAGAGGTTTTGTCAAATAGCGATGGGTCACTCAAAGGTTACAATCATTATGCTGTCCTGCGTTTTGTCCTCTAACTATAATAGATTATTTTGTCTGTGATTGATTTTTGATTGGACAGATTTAGCTAGTTTTTGTTTCCTCTTCTTGAAGACAAGCTTGAGAAAATGATTATATTATATAAATAAATACAGCTGAACTGAATATCATAACTGCACCCACCATAACTTGTATTATGAAAAACTAAAACCGATGCATGTAAGCCTGTGGATCTCTTTCAAGGTTTGTCGGTGAATGCTTGTGCTGTGGCTTTGTAGCTCATGACTGAACTTGATAGAAATTTATCTGGATGACATAAGAGACTTTTCACATCAGTTATGTCACATCTTGTGTATCACTTGACTCTACCCTAAAATAAATTGCCCCTGGACCAGATGCATTCTTTATCCATCACTGAAGGTTATTTTCAATACAACAAAAACATGAATGTGAGTGTGAAGGTGTTTTTCTACCTATGTATGTTAGCCTGGTGTTAGACTGCCAGTCTGCAGCGTGGCCTATTCAGTGCACGCTGGGATAGGCTCCAGCATGTACAACCTTGAATGCTATTGTTGAGTATAGAAAATGTATTGATGGATGGAAGCCCTGTATTAAATTTACTCTTAGAAAGGAGCTGTGATTGTCTTTAAATTTCATGCAGTAGCACATTCATTCATTTTCTTTACCTGCTTATTCCTATTCAAGGTTGCAGAGCATATCTAAGCAAGCAGTGGGTGGATGGCAGAGAAACATCTTACCAGTCAGTTGTATTAACAAGAAAAAGCATCTAATTATGATTTATCTCACTGCTCCCCATTCAGCCAGACTTCCTCTGAAGAGTGTCTCTTTGGTGTTCGTCTTTAGTGAGAATGTCTCACTGCCAATGTGAGAAAGGGGACAAAGAATCACAATGTGCCTGAATTTCTCTCTTCTTCTCTTCTCTTCTCTTCTCTTCCGACAGACACATTATGAAGATGGAGAGTACATCATCAGACAGGGAGCCAGGGGAGACACCTTCTTCATCATCAGTAAGGGAAAGGTGAGAACAATGCCTCTTGCCTACTACCAACACAATCATCAGACATCACAACGTGGGGCATCATGGCACGCACTGCAAAAGATACATCCTTCTGAAACAAAGTGGTAGTGTTTTTTGGTGGAAGTTGAATGTCACCAATTATTTCAACATAGGGGAGACAGAATGTCTCTGATCTCTTGCAGCAGCAACAGGAGCATCTACAGTAAAAGGGAGAGTGTCAGAGAGTCACTTTCATTTCACCTTTCTGTCATCAGTACTGCCGTTCACACTGAGCATATGACACAGCGTCCTGTGCAGCATCAACACTCTCTGAGGGCTTTCATGCTCGCTATGCTTCCTCCTCATTTTCTCCCTGATCATCATCCTCATCTTCCACATGTCTTACAGGTTCATTTTACATTTGTTCCTTCCCTCACCTTCACTTTACTCTCCTCCACCCTCCCCTCCACCTCTTCCTCATCAGTATGATGTACTGTAGATTAGTCAACAACTTAATTCTCAGTCCCTTAAAGCCACAGTCCCACCCCATTTGGGTGTCCTCACAACATACACACAATCTGCCCTTCTGCCTATAGTTTTTTCCTCCTTCAAGTCCCTTCAAGTCTCCTCTCTTTGTTTTTTTTTTTTTTACTCCCATATGATCATATTAGATAATATAAAATAATGCTGTCACTGCAGGTGTAGACAACGTTACTTCATGCTGGAGCTGGATATGCTACTACACCTGTGCAAAACTGACTAATGGATGTAGATAAGATCCTTCATTAGGCGAAACAGCCATCTCCATTCACTTCCTCTGAAATGTACTCAAGCGCTACCACTTTGACTTGTAAAGTCTAGTGGCACAGCACAGTGCCATCACTCACATGTCGTCTGGCTAATGAAGTGGTTAGCGATGCCTCCTACATCCTGCACAGAGATGGCTGTCACCTGTTTGTAACAGACTACCCATGCACAGAGACATCTGCCACTGCAGCGCTTCTCCCCTATTTGTATTTGATTTACCTGTCATCTTCAGACAATATTTGCATGCCAATTTTACTTTTCGATTGATGTGTAAATGAACTGTTATTCTCTCAAATGAAATATCTTCTCCTTTCATATCTTTCTTTACTCTTGTTCCATCTTCCTCCCTGTCACACTACTCTTCTCTTTAACTCTCCTCCTCCTGTATTTCTGTTATTTCCCCAGGTTAATGTGACAAGGGAAGACTTGCCCAACGGAGAGCCTGTCTTCCTGCGTAGTCTGGGAAAAGGCGACTGGTTTGGAGAAAAAGCCTTGCAAGGGTAAGATTGTTCCTAATAACACTGCCTCTTCCAATTTAAATCTTCTCTTCTCCCATTTCTCTTTTTCACTGCCGCCTGCTTTCTTTTAATTTTCATTTGTAACCTGTCTAATGTATTTCGTTTTGTGCTCAACACGCTTCTATTCTTTCAAATTTGCAGCCTCCAGCTCTTATCTGCCCCCTTTTTCCCCCACCACTCATTCTTCTTGACAGGCATGGTAACTTGTTAAATGTTTGGAGCTGCTTAAAGCTGGGCACACATTGCACATCTTCAGGCCTGATTTACTGTATCTGTTCCAGTCACTTTTTGAGATCTGACACAAAACTTCTATCTCTGAACTACAGAAAGCTTGTTAAGGTTGAGCTGATCAATTTTTTTTTATAAATCAGATTTAATGGGCTTTTTCCCCTGCAGCTCAAAGTGTGTAAGGCAACTTTTTTATACAGCACATTTCATACACAGAGGCAATTCAAAGTGCTTTACAGAGGCAAGCAAAGCAGCAGCAGCAGCATTAAAACCAGAATAAAATCAGTTAAGGCAAAGTGAAGATAAAACATTGTTAAAATGACATAAAATACAAATTTATTTTTAAAAAGAACAAAAAGACAAAATAAAAAGACTGAAACTGAAATCTAGCAGTTATAGTGCAGAAAGTACATCATAGAAACCAGTCAAATAAAGACACAGGAAAATAGAAGTTTTAGCTTGGTTTGAATATGTAATACCTAGATAATACTGTCTGAACAGTATGAGTATCTGAAGATGCTACTCCTTTATTTGCAGAACTCTTTGCAGAAAGTATAAATGAGAGCACAATAATTATGACACACTCTTTACAAAAAAAAGTGTCGTCCAAGTTCAAGTGACAGTGGAGATCCCGCACAGCCACACTCAGCGACAACCCGTCTGTGCTATATTTTGCACACAGCCATGCTGCAGAGACAAAGAACTAGAGATATCAAAAATGATTTATTGTGAGTGGACTTTTCTGATGAGTGTACTCCCAGGTGAAGACTCATTTCATTTAGATGTAATTGTCTATGTGCTTCTTAGGTTCTTTTGTCTTTTCTTTTCACTTGCTGTCTTGGTTCTATAACATCATAATATCAAGGACATTTCTGACTATAATAATGAATTTTTACCCTATTTGTTTGTCTTTTATGAACATTTGCATGACATGTATGAGTGTAGTGGCTTTTACAGACACAGCAGCTCATAATGACAGAGATAAACATACTGTGCATTAAACAGATATAACCTGAGCATGCACAGACCCCTGCAGCATGTCAAACATCTATACTATGTACGCATGTGCTAGGAACATGCAAATGATGTACTGAGCCTTGTTTGAAGTAACCAGGCTGTATATAGTGTAGGAATCAAATGATTTATGGCTCCTGCTAACACTTGTTACCATCTAACTGATCAAATACTTTCAATGAAACGAACACTTGATATAATACAAATATCTTATATGGCTTCTGGTATCAAACACCAGTGCCCGCTGTTTGTTCTGTCTTGTAATAACTACGTGCCTCCATGGACAATCTATTATTAAAAGAGAGGTCAGGTAGACCTAGAAAATAGTCTGAAGTGTGTTATGTCTGTGAGGGGTCAGGTAGAAGCAGAGAACATACTGCATGCTCTCATGTACACAGTTAAGTGCATGTGTACTGGTAGCCAGTAGTATCAGGATGACAAAAATGGAATTGTTGCCATCTTGTGGTTGCTGAATGTGAAAACAACATAAGATCAGCTCTGATGCAATTACACCTCACCAGCATATTTTATTAAAAAACAAAAAAATCTAAGTTGACCCAAACAGTTATCCTGTGAAAACCTATGTGTGGTAAAAACCATTTTTTTTATTTTTAAATGGAACACTCCAGATGCTAGGTATGATTTTCAGCCAACAGCTGGAGTGGAACAGATGGGTGGGCATTTCTCGTACGCTGAAGCCAATAACTATAGTACATGAAATATGACAGAGCATTAAAATGCACGTGGGACCTCTGAAGCATGGGAGGAGTTTGATCTCTTGGCAATGGGGGGAGCAGGTTGTTCCAAAGAGAAATGTGATCATTTTACACTACTGAGGCATAAAAATTTACAGTTTGATGGATGAGCACAAGGCACAAAGTGCAAACCTACAATTAATTTAGCAGCTGTGCTACTTTCGTGGTGATCTATTTGAATTTTTCAGGAATTCAGTGATATCGTGTAAGCCCTGTTGAAATG